TTTCATGTAATTACAAACAGTAGAGCTTATCTATGTATAATCCTATATGCAAATACTAATAAAATCTTATCGGCAATATAAGCTGCCTTAAACATTAAAAAAAAAAAAAAAATTGAATTTGGAAGTAAACTTATAGTATAATAATAACAAATATATATGTATTTTGGAGTTAGCATAACAAATATATATTTTATTTTGCAATATAAACAATGAGTTTACTATAATATAATGAGCTATATATATTTGATGAAATAACTAAATCATTATCAAATATTAGAGATATTTGCAAATAAGTACCTTTTGTATTTATAATTTTTTAACTACTCAGTCTTAAACAGGATTATATATTTAAGTTATAATTCTTATAAGATACCTTTTATTTTCTTTTGTTTTTGTTTTTGTTTGTCTTTTTTCTTTTAGCTAATTAGGTTTTTAACTTGTTAGCAAGTTTTTCTCACTTAGTTTTGAATATTATATATAGTATATAACCTTGCTTTTCACTATATATAACAATTTTATTATACTTTTATTAATATTTGTTTTCCTAGACAGTTAGACAAAATTATTTAGACTTCTCTTTTTCTTTATATTAAAGAGATTTTTAGTATAATAGTTCATATTTGAGTATATATACAAATAGAGTATTAAATGATATTTTCTATTAAAAAATTAGATATATAAGAAGAAACTATAGATTCTTGTTTAAGTTAAATCTTATATAGACTAGCTATTTGTAAACTTTTTATCTAATAAATATATAAAGTATAACTATTAAAGGAAAAAAAATAAAAAAAATATAATAAGAGTACTAGATACAAATATTAGTAAACAAAAAGATAAGTAAATTAATATAGAAAAAAGTATAAAAGCTTTTGAATAGATACTAAAAAAAAAAATAAAAGATTAGAAGTTAGACTACTAGTAGATTACAATTAGATAAGTTATAAAATTATATAAAAAGTTTAACTTATATTTACTAAAACAGAATTTTATTTTAAAAAAGTTATATTATAAAGTTTAGATTATATATATCTTCTAAAAATATAAAAATAGCTAAGAAAGATATAAAACAATATTAAAAAATTAATTAAAAACCAAAAAAAAATATTTTCTATATTATAATAAAAGACTTAATATAGTTTTAAATATAGAACAAAATACAAGTAAAAAGAAAAAAATCAAAATTCAAATTTAAAAGTTTTAAAGTAGTTAAAGAATACAGATTATATTAAAACTTTTAGGTTTTGTAATTTTAAAACTATTAAGTTTTTATAAACAAATAGCATAATTACTATAAAAATAGAGTATATATAGAGCTATTAAAATTTAAATATATTTATAGTAAATAGTAATATTGATAATACAAAAATAATAACAAATAGTGATTATAGTATAGTATAGCTTCAAATAAATAGTAGAGTTTATAAAAAAAAAAATACTCAATAATCTATTAGAAAAACACCTATTTGAAGTACTAACAACTATAGTTGTTTTTTTAATTCTATTATAAAAATACTAGATAATATATTTTATTTAGTTTTATAATTTATATTATATTATTATTATTATATATTATTTAGTTAAAATTTTGTAATTGTTTTACTCTCTTTGCTTTGTTATTTTTATTACTTTAACTTTTTTCTCAATTTAATTTTTAATAATAGTAGAAAGTATTAGATTAGAAATTAATACTTCTCTCTATCTAGCTTGTAAATAATAACACAACTACAGTTTTTAAAAAATATAATTAATTAGTAGAAATAATTTAGCTACTCAAGTAATTTTTTTTATACTAATAAAAAAAAAAGGTAGTGATCACTCAATAAGAGTTTTATAATTAATAATTTGATATCTGATTTTGAATAAAATAATTTGAAATTTAAGATTTTTAAACTCCTTTAGTGCTAGAAACCTATAATTAACAATTACACAAAATGTTTCAATTGTTTAAATAGCTATAACTTTTTTATATAAGAACTTTTAAAAAAATCTAATTGGTAACTTTATAAAGCTATATTACTTCAGCATATATGCCAAATATCTTTTCAAACAGTAAAGAAATGAAATGATTTAATAATCACAATTTTATATGTAAATTTATAAACTTATAAATTTATATATGAGATATATAATTTTGATTTTCAAATCGCTTCAACTCTTTACAGTGATAAGATTTTAAAAAGATATTTGGCACATATGTAGAGCTGATATAGCTCTATAAAGTTACTAGTTAGATTTTTTTAAAATCTCAGAGATAAAAAGTTATAGCAATTTAAAAAATTAATTTCATGTACTATTGAGTATAGGCTTTTAGCACAATACTTATTTTTGAAATATGGGATCTTTGTCTTGAAAATCAAGTTTTGATCATATGAGGTGTGATCTATTAAAACAGCCCATTTTTACAATTTTTCAAAAATTTTTTTATTTGATTTTTAAATAGATATATATTCAATAAAAAAGTTTGTTTTAAGTTACCAAAGCTAATTATATAATAAAAAGTTTTACAAAATAAACTTTAAGTTGAAAATTTTATATGTATTACTATTTGTAGATCATTATTTAAAATCGATTTACTCAAAATTGTTTATATGTAAAAATGGGCTGTTTTAATAAATTATACCCCATATGATTTACATACTATGTCCCGTAAGGTCATTATTTTGACAAAATTGTCCCTTCCTAGTGTTCTCAATAAAGCATTAATATAAATTTGCGAAACGTATAAATTTTTTACTGTTCACTAACAAACATTTTCTGAGAACAGTAATGTTATTCTCATAAGTAAGTGATGTAGGCGGTATTATGAGTAAATCTGGCCTGCTTTAAGACAATAAAAGACGAGCATAGTCTGTCCGAAACATTCAGATTACGATTAGTAAAAACTTTAAATTTTTTTTGAGAACACCTAATGAAACGTAGTATACTGTTCTCATAGGAACAGTAATTAAAGCCGAAATTTCGAACACAGCCCCTTACCCCCTAGGTTTCTTACCTTTTCTATTCATCTATATATAGACGTGTTTTTTAAAAGACCCCTTCCCTAAAGAAAACACGTGTTTTCTGACCCTCCTCTTATAGCTCAAAACTATTTTTATTTTTCCGAAATCGAAACTATAGTTTGGGTTTCAAGTAGTATTTTACCAAATTAGCTTTGGATAGGTTTCGTTTCAGATCATACATAAATGGTAAATTTAAAAAAATGATTGAACTTTCTGTTTTTGTAATACATATTTAAAATAAGTTTTGCACAAACCAAACTCTACTTTATTTAACCAATTAGTAATAATCATTCCACAAGACCCTCCTACATAGTGTAGCCACCAAAAATAATACGGTCTTTACACATTTTACCTATGTGTGTTATTCAATTTTAAATATACAAATTATTAAATAAAACTTAGATATAGTAAACAATGACAAATAAATACAGTATATGTTATTAATAGTCACTGACTATGCAGCAGCTACCATATTTTGAGAAAACCTTATAAATGAATTATATTTATGTTTATAAAATTTTAACCTTGAAAAAAACAGATACGTAATAAGTATTCATATTTCCAATTAAGTATAGTGCTAAACTATAATATTTTTATGCAAAAATAATATGCAAAAAATAAATTTATCGTTCATAATGACATTTATTTATAACACTTTGTTCAAAAAAAAAATTTTTTTTTCGCTAGTATTTTTTTATACAAAAGAAAATAGAATTTTGATTGTCAGTATTTCAATTTCGGACAAGTCATTCCGGAGTATTTTGTGCAGATTTTAAAATAACCCTAAAATAGGATTTATAATGTACGTAATAATAATATTGAAATTGAACTATGAAAAATTTTACCTAGTTATATTTAAAGAAACAGAAATTTACTATAATTAATATATGATACGTGATTGCCAATTATTTGCGCATCAACCAATTTTTAAGAATTAGGGTTCATGTACCTGTATTAAGGTTAGGGTTAGGGTTAGGCTAGAGTAAATCGTTTTTATAAGTAAAATTGTCTTCCCGACACTTTTAATTAACACTCCACGATAGGTTTCGACTACCGTTTCCTATATTTTTCGCGTTTTTCACTTTTTTCGCTTTGTTTTGCTTCGTCGGGCTGATCCGGGATGATCAAAATTTCTCTATTTGATTGGTCGATCATCACGTGTTGATGCGCAAATAGATGCACTCTATGGGTGGCACTGTGTCATTTCTCCGACATTTTAGCCCGATTTAGGTTTTAGCCAGTTTTATATTTTCGGTGAAATTATTGTAATTTTGACACGTTCTTGCATATGAATGGTCCGTATTATTTCACAAATTAATAATTAATTCTGTAATTGTGAAACTAAACTTGCATAATTTCCAAGTAGCACCCTTTTTGTTTTTTTATCGTTATTAAAAATGGAAATACTTTTTTTAGTAAAAAATGCAAGCAAAGTACTTCATCTGCAAATATGAAATTTAATCTTTTTAGAAATAATACGTACTCAAAATTATTAACATAAAATATTGTTATAAATACAATAGCTTGTTCAATTATTCGAAGAAAATATCTGTAGTACGTGAATAATCAATTTAATACATATTTGTTTTTAGGTTCGATTTTATGCAACGTATATGTAAACGTAATAAAAGATTTTAATAAAGTAAAATGGAATAAAATTCCGTCACATGGAAACTCCGTATGAAAATGACTAACTAAAGCATTGGTTTATCTTTTCTTGGTCTTTTTCTATGAAAGAAATCCCTATATAATCTAGGTTTTCTCTACATCAGACTCAGACTTGAGGAGAATTAGAATTGGAATTCTGAAAAAAACGACGATGGGAACTATTTTTGATTCTATGGAGGTAATTGAAAACGAACGGATAAATTGCATTGATTGTAGCGAATTTACGGATCCAGAAAATATTGCTGATGGTGTTTATAAACTAGAATGGAAAAATTATGGGATGCCAGTTGCTCGCAAATGTATAAAGGCTAAAGTAAATCCAAAAGAGGTAAGCTTTGTAGTGTTCAGAACCGATTCATATTCAAAATCAAAGAATCATTTACAAAATGCCGATCGGGATGGTAAAAAAACGTTTTAAATCATTTTCATTTGTTTTTAATTGCTTTTAAACAAGGGCTAAAATAACAGCAAGTGGATAATAAAGCTAAAATTATAAATAGAATTGCATAATTTCACGATTACGTTATGGTATATTAAAAACAAGGGGAATTTACAACCAAAAATGTAAAATAATTACATATAGGGGCCCCATTTTGGAAAATTTTACTATATCTCACGATACAGTAAACGAAATTTGGCGATTTTGATACCATTCTAATCGACTTGTCGAGACGGATCGAATGGTACTAAAATCGCTAAATTTTAATGACGTGATAACAAGATATTACGGCTTAAATAGACTTTAGAAAATGTTAAATAACTCATAATCCAGTAATTAAAATTTGGCGAATTTGGTACCATTCAATGTGTCTCAATGAGACGATTCGAATGGTTAAATTTCGTTTACGGTATCATGAAATATTAGTAAAAACTGTTAAAATTTATTGAAATAGGGCCCCTATATGTAATTATTTTACATTTTTGGGCCCTTATTTGTAAATTCCCCTAAAAACAAATTAAAAATCAATCATTTGCCATCCCTAAATATATGATATTCAACGTTATATTTAAAATTTAATCTTAGCAAATATTTATAAAGATAGAAATTTATACTATTTTTGACTTGTTATAAGTTATTAGTACGTATTAAAAACTTGTTGCTATCCGAATATGTACACTGTCATATGCACATAAACCATCGCATATAACCCGTAAGATTAGGGCGACTTAATTTGTAAGCATAACTTTATAATGATCTTTAAAAGTTCATAAGAATAATGATATGGCATTTAGTAATAATTTCTTAGATATTGGGATTTATAGACAAGTTCTTATTTGACTTTGGAAAGAATCGATTATGAACACTAATACTTAAAAATTATACTTATAAAAAACCCTTTACTAAAATGAAATTTCATAATATTATATTTATATTTTAACAGCTTCTGCTTTTACGAAAGGTAGCATGTCATCCCAACATTATTAGTTTCTATGGTATAATTAAGGGTACGTTCAATCGTGAATTATGTGCATAACTTTTAAATAACTATTAATATCAAAACCATTTATTAAATAGATCCATCCAATGAACATTATAATATGGTTCTAGAGTTTGCAAATGATGGAAATTTACGGGACTATTTAAAAATCAAATTTTCAAAATTACAATGGATTGATAAATTCAATATGGCTAAGGAAATAGCACAAGGCCTTATTTTCTTGCATTCTAATAATATTGTACATCACGATCTAGTAAGTGTATTTCATTGATTTTATTTAAATACACGCATATTTCGTAAATATGCATTCCTTTGTATGACTGAAATTGACAAATAATTTAATCCTGAAAACTTGGTCATAAAAGGATGTGTATATACGATATACCTCCTAGAAATTTATTAATGATAAATTTTTTTTTTAGCATTCGAAAAATATTTTGGTTCAATATGGAAAAATGAGAATTGCAGATTTTGGTTTATCTAAACAAACTAATGAAACATCAATAATTTCACCTTCAGATTCTTACGGAATGCCGGCATATATTGAACCACAATATTTTAAAAACCCTTTATATAGATTAGATACTAGATCTGACATTTACAGTTTTGGAGTGATTATGTGGGAAATTACAAGCGGCAAACCTCCGTTTCAATCATTCACATCAAAAGAAGCAATAGCCATTCATATATTCCAAGGAAAGAGAGAAAAACCCATAGAAGGCACACCATCAGAATTTAAAAATTTATATGCAAGTTGTTGGGACGAAGAACCTGCCAAACGACCAAATGCAAAATATGCGCTTGAAATTTTAAATTCTCTTATTAATAAGGAATACCAGAAGGATCAGTTCTCAAAGCTTTAACTTTTATTAGATTACATAGTCATCCTCGTCAAATGGGAATAGTTTGTGTATTTCACAAAGCTTTGTTTATTTAACGATAAGTCAAACTTTATTATTATATATTTAAAAAAAAATTCAGTTAATTTGCAAATCGTTTAACGAGGATGGCTATGTAATCGAATTATTGCATTAACTGAAATTTTTATATTATTTATAAAGAATTTAATTTAGCAGAAATAGAAAAATAATATAGGAATAATGCTTTTTTATCTCGTCACATATAATTAATATTATAAATAAATAAATAAATATTTTTTACCATGCAAAAGGGGTGTAATTTTCCCTTGAGATTATAGAGATTTTGAGTTTCTCAATAATGTATTAAAATGGTAGTTTTCTATTCAGTTACGTATAATTGTGTAGTATTGGTTTTCATTAATTGATTATTGTTATTTATAGGCTATAGTTAGGCCGTTCAAAGTTGATTATTAGTTTAACGTCAATATTTTTGGCTCAGGCACGAGGGGGGAGGGGGGAAATTTAAACAAACACATATATTCCAAGAATATTTGATCAAATCTCATTGGTCAACCTTAATCACATGATTAATGAAGTTTATGCTGTGTTGTAATTGGCTTGTTTAATTTTCAGGGGGATAGTTAATCGGGAGGGGGGGATGACGTTAAACTCATGATAGTGTCACACTCGGAAACGGCGAGTCAGTCGCTCAATATTATGAATCTTCGTGTAACGGATTAGGATAACTTGTCGAATGAGGCGTTTAGATTTGGCAAAAGGCTTCGGTTATCGCCCTTGTCACGTTACTTCTTTCTTATCACAAATCCGTTGAGTTTTTCAACTTCCTTAATCTACTAACTTTGACTTATCATCTCTCTTAGGATAATCAACAATAAATTCTCGGAAAGTTCTCTTTGCTCAACAACTTAATGATTCGGCTTTTACTCTACCAAAGAGTATTAATTCTGCGGCGTAACAGTTATACACAACAATTAGTTTATTAATTTAGCGAATACGGGTTGGAATTATTTAGCTATATAATGTGCCAAAGGAAGGTTTGGGACAATTTATTGGGTAGATTGAAGAAGAGTTAACACAGTAATCATCACAATAACACATGACAATCATCCAGCCTAGATTAGGATTAGGTTATGGTTAGTTTAGTATAGCAGACAATCTAAATTCAGAAATGATAATTGGTGGCTTGGCTCTACTTAAAAAATTTTTATACACTTTTAGATTATGAAGTATCTTCATATTTACTCTTAATTTTACTAATCAAATTAGCACAAAAAAGTAAGGTATTAAAACATTATGGAACATTCTATCTTATATTAAAATTAATTCAAAATAATCTATATCTTCAAGAACTTTATTTAAAAATGAATTTTTTTACTATATACTACTAGTATTCATTATTTTAATAATATATATATTTTAAATACTGAAAACAGTTAACTAAAGGGTTGGGTCTTATGGTTTAGTTAGTTAAGCTCTCAACCCTTCACAGACAAGGTCAATGGTTTGAGTCTGGTTGGAGGTATTTGCTTCTGTAATTCTTATAAAAACCATCAATTGAATATGAAGCCTTGTAGTAAAACTCATATGAAGTATAAGATTCTAGAAAAAGGAATTCTTAGAAGAAGATTGATATTATAGAGTAAGTTGGCATTATGTGTAATAGTCAGTGTCACAGAAGGTTCTGTTATATGAGTATTGCACAAATAAGTTCTCAGAAGAGTTAGGCAGTACTAATATTCTCAGTGGTTAGAAACTTGCTTAGAAGGGTAATACGAAAGTAACATGAGATAAAGTAATAAGTGAAGCAGTGAATATAATAGAAATCTGTAGTAAAAAATTGTTTTGACTAGATATAGAAAATTTCTAGTATATATAAAAGCTAGAATTAGAAGGTTTCAGTTCTGTAGAGAGTTGGCTACTATCTAAAGCATGCATAATAATTTGAATTGATAGAAAGTATTGAGCTAGTAGTGCAATCGCATATCTGAGTATAAGGACACACTAATATTAAATACTAGCTAATACAAAAGCAAGTTGGAAGTAGTACTATATATTATAAATCTAGTTGAGAGCAACTTTGTTATAAAACATAGTCTGTACTTTACCAATACATAGAAGTATCTAGTATTAATAGTAGTACTGTATATAAATACAGTTGTATATTATAAATGCTATATACTTAGTTCTGCAGTAGTTGTATTAGTTGTGAGTCTAGATTAAGTATTATAAGCTAATTAGGAGATACATAGGTTTAGATAGCTAATTACTAAACAGAAAGTTTTTTATGAAGATTATGATACCTAATATGATCTATAGTACCTATTTGGTAATATTTCTATAGGAATATAAGTAAAGCAGTAAATACAGAAATAGTGATCTAATAAGAATAGTCATAGCATAAACTCTAATTAATACTATAGTAGGTTAGTTTTGATTAAGTCAAGTATATCTTGAGGATAAATTAGTTCTTAGGTTGTACATAGATATTAAACTAGTTGTAATCATTACTTGTAATAAATTATAACAAAAATTTAATAAAATATCTGGCCAAAGAGGTCACTTGTAAAAAAAAAAAAAAAAAAAAATAGTTAACTAAAAAAAAAGATTAAACCTTTATATATAAGCTTTGTAAGTATTATACTTAAGAAATTTGTATATACTATTTGATATTTTATTTTTTTTTATTTTTAAGTTAACTTATATTGCTAAAAAATTTTATTAGTTTGATATACAGAGTTATATATAAGTAACTTTTTATAGTTTGTAATTATATAGTAAACTTTATAAGTTTATTTTAGTTCCAGAGTTTAAACTTGTTTAGAGATATTTTCAGCAAAAAGATAATGATTATTAGTAAGTATTTCTTTTGCTTTTTCTTTTTGAGAAGTAGTTATAGAAGTGTTGGTATTTAATATAAGAGTTTTAACTTGAACTTTTGTTGTAAAAGCAATATAAGTTGCTAGGTTCTTGTCAATAACATAATCAGTTTAAGGGTTATTGAAGAAGTTATCATTTTTCAAATCTTCTTCTTCAGTATAGTATGTTTTTGTTTTATAATTATCAATATTATTTATTTATTCATCTTCATTAGTAAATTCTTTAAATTCTTCTGACACTAGTTCACTACTTATATGAGTTATATAGATTGTAACTCATTTTTTTAAATATCAAATCTTTAGAGTATAGTTATCAAAGTCTAGATTGGTTCTAACTTTAGTAAACTAGTTAGTTCCTAGTAAAAAAGTTTTATTTTTTGACTTAATTACTTGTAAATCTATAGGATTTTTTTTTAAAATTCAGCAGTTATATTATAACTTTATTTAGATTTGTTTTTTATTTAAAAACAATATTATTTAGTTATATACTATTTAATATCTAATTTTTAAGCTCTGATTTACTCAGTTATCTATAAAAATCTATATGCAATTTGCTATAGTAATCTTTGTCCTATATTTAAATAGTTTATAATTTATAAACTATAAATTAATATAGAAAGGATACTATAATTTATTATAACTAATTTTAAATCTAACTAGCTAGTATTTCTTCTTTTACTTTTCTAGTTATGCTATCTAATACTATTATATAACTAATATTATAGTTTTCTGTATTTCTATTTATTCTGTAATTTGTTTTTTTTTTATAGTCCTTTTTTTTGAATTGTTTTTTCTTCTTTCTTTCTGTGAGTATTTTTACTTTTTGAAGTTTTTTCTTTTTTCTCTTATGCTTCTATATCTTTGTATCAATTTTTCTATACTTCTTTGTAAACTAATTCTATTCAAATATGCTAGAACAAACTTCAGAATTTAGTTGTTATACTTTCAAAACTAATAACAGTTTTGATTTTTTTAGCATCTTTTTTACTAAGAATATCTCTTATCTATTTTTTTTTTTTTGTTGTTTTATTTTCTGTTTATATTGAATAGCTTGGTATATACTCATTAGATTCTAATCTTCTTTCTTTTTTTTTTTATCTTTATATAACTGTTTCTATACTTTTTTTTAATTTTTTAAAAACTTATTATGTTTTTCACAAATAATCAGATATCTAATTATTTTCTTTTTCTTAATATATGAGCTGCTATCAATAGAAATCAAGCAAATCTACATTTGAAAAAAATTAATACTTTAACTTTCAAAGCTTATATCTTAATAAATTTTAAAGCTATCTTAATAGATTAATATTTAAAAGAAAGTATACAATCTAAGCTTTTTTTTAAATACTAGATAATCAAGATAGCTTTAAAATTCATCAAAATATAAGCTATAAAAATTAAAGTATTGATTTTTTTTCAAATATAGATTTACTTGATTTCTATTGATAACAGTCTATATCTCTTGTATAGCTATTTTTATATAATTGTAGCTTTCTATAGTTTAAGATTTTAATAGTTGAAAAGAAATTTTTAATATATTTAATATTAAACAATTGCAAGTAGTTTACTTCAAGATTTTGATATTGCTTATGATAGCTTTCAAGTATACTCTTCAAAGCTTTCTAATTTTGTTTTTGAATTCTTGTTAAGTATTACTTATTATTTTTATATCTATTCTGTCTTGTTTGTTGTTTGAACTAACTTTTTAATAAAAGCCCTTAGCAAGGTTTTCAAACTTAGCTTTTTCTATTCAGAAATATATTTTATACTATTGTTATTGATATTGTTTAGTTCTATACTGTTTGCTTTATATATTTCTTCTTTTGCAAGTATATCTATAAAGTTATTATAAGTATCTTTGAATAACTTTTAAATTTTATAAATATTAGCTAAACTAATTTACTTTTGCAAACTTTCTTGATTACGTACAGAATATTATTATTCTTAGACTTCAACTACTTAGTATTTTTTTATTTTTAAGATAGTTTTTAATTACCAAAATTGTATATGTACTATCTGGTTCTTATTTCTACTTTGCATCTATTAGAAACTAATTAAACTGCTACTAAACAAGCTACTAGCTTTGTATAAATAAATAAAAACTAGTTTTCTATTCTTTTCTTATAACTAAAAACTATATTATTTGCACTATTTATTTGAACTATATTAAATCTTATCCT